TTTGTAATTTAAATTTTGCATGTTATTACTTGGTATATGATCTATTATTGCATTAATACTTGTTACGGCACTGTTTGTAACTGTTTAAATACGTAAACAATACTTAAAAATGAATAGGTGTGAGTCAAATCATCATTTATTGTTGGATAATTCCTTTGTTTAAAGCCTGTTAAGCGCTTTCAGAGATTACGCAAATTATATTTTTGTTTCCTTTATTATATAACAATTGCGGGTAGAAACAATGAGAAACTGAGTGTTATGAATACAAATTGTGCGATAATTTGTAATAAATATAACGTAAATTACATTTATTCATATACAGACTAGCTTAAAAGTCAGTTAACCATGTTTTGTTCTGTAAATACGAATCGTAAACTAAGTTAAGAACAGCGGTTTAATTAGGTATATTTAAGTACTTGAATAAGGCAGCAGTTTAGTCTTAGTGGTTAACTGACTTTTGAACCGCCCTGTATACTAATTCTATTAATCAGAGTTACACTTAAAATCATTAAATTTATTACTATTAAGTAGTTTATACAGCGGCTATGTCTATGAAATTCATTGTCATGTCTAACGATTCAATTTAAATTTTTGGAGGTGATAACAATTAAAATTTATATTTGATTGTTTGTCATATTTATTTTTTTACTCGTTAAAATTTTGTATTTTGTTTATAATATTTGAGTTTCGTTGGATCTTATCGTTAAAACTGAAACAATTCCAAATAAAATTGCTATTTTTTGCTTATTTTATTAATTGCTGGGTGATTTACACTTGCTATTGTTGAATTTAACAAATATAACGTTTTCATTCTGTGTAATACTTTTGCTTTTTGTTTTAATTTTCAATATGATATATTTTTTCTTGAATTTTTATATTGTAACCCATTAATTGGCTATTTTGTATTTTTATATTAAAAGTCCAAATATTTTTTCTCTTTCCAGCATAAACAATGGAATTAAGATACATGCTTCTGGTTCTTTATTTTATATGTTAGGTACTAGTATAACTGGTCTAATTGGACTTTCTTTTTAACTAAGTCTTGTTACATCGAAGGGATTCACTCCCTACACAAATTCGTACGTACTAAAAAGCCTTTATTGTAACCTCAACCTGTTAAGATCAAGATTACAATAAAGGTTTTTAATAGGAATTTAAGGTCGAGGATACAATAAAGATTTTTTTAGAACGAATTAGAACTCCCTTCGATATAACAAGTCCTAGTCAAAAATAAAGCCCACGTAGACAAGTTATACACAACATAAACAATGGAAATTTCTCACTGTTAATGTTCATAATAATCTTAATTATTGAAATTGTTTATATAAATTAAAACGAAAATTTATCATCATTTATCATAGACAATTTCATATTATCGTTTATCGAAATTGAAAAAAACACTGCACTTAATTTTAACATTTACTAATTTATTTATAATGTTACAATTAGTTCCAATTAATTATAAAAGTAAACGAGCCCAGAACACTAGAAGTAACATAAAAAGCAGAATTTAAACACGTAATGTAAATTCATTCATTTCAGTCGTTTAAAATAGACGAATTAAAACTGGAAATGCCATTTATTAATAAAGGGTGGTGGCCCAAAATTCAGCCAACAACATTCGCATTCCATATACGCTTTGGAATACGAATCGCAAAGTTAGTTTACAAACAAATAGAATATATTTAAATATCTTCAGCGGTTACCTAACTTTTGGACCAACCTTTACATTAAATAAATTTATGAATTTTTAAAATGTAAGCTGTAAAATATCGAACAATATGTTACCATTAATTAATTAATGTAAATCATTAATTGCATAAACAATATAGACTTTTAATAATTCAATATTGAAGAAGTATCAAAGTGGACCCAGATAAAATTAGAAAAAAATCTAAAAGATAAATGTAGTATTTTCAAATATATTATGAGAAAGGAGCAACGTTATTCATTCGCTTGTGACACTCCTCCCGGGTAAAGGTGGAAGAGTAGAATATTGATGTATGCAAGGAACAGACTCGCATGTGCGAATCAACGCTAGGATCAACCGGTGGGCGACTTCCAAAAATCGATTACAAATTTACCAAAAGAAAACACAACTTGCTCTCTTCTCACTTTATATTCTGACATTCTCGTCACTTTATTTACATTTTCTTTCGCCTGCTTATATTTATTCGCCTCCAATCAAATGCCTCTTTTCTGAAATAATATAAAACTTATCAACAACTAGACTAAATTTCTAATCTGCAGGGAGGCCCAAACAATTGTTCACTCACTATATTATTCACTTTATTATTCACTTCATCCTGCTATTGAATCGCGGCTAGAAAGTTTCTGTCCTGTTTTAGACTATTCTAAAAAATTATATACTTCGGTTAACCGATTTTTGGGCTACCTTGTATATCATTTATAAAACTGTGTTTATTGTAATGCTTGTAATATATAAATTTTAAATATTTTCGTGCGCTTTTTCTGACCGTAAATGTAATTCGTGGTGAGTTTAAGGAGAAAAAATGGGACAATTTACGTCGCGGGGACGAAAAGAAAATGCATTTTTATTGTCTGTATTTTACACTCATTTGCATAACGGCCAATCGCAGAACGTTCTTTTCGTTTATTGACATAAAATGTATTTTATATTCATGCAATTCTGACAAGGTTTCCGCCTATAAAAAGTTGGGAGGAAGCACAAGGAAAAAAAATTGAAATTTTCTATACTTTATAAAAATAAGTGTCGACAATATAATCTGCATAATTTACTATTATTGAAATATCTACTTTCTCCACTGTTCGATTCTGTTTTCGTTTTTCAGATAATGTCATCGCCATGTAAATTAGACATTAGGGATTTGATATGTGATGAAGAAATAGAATCGGTAATAAAGGCGTCGCCTCATAATTTATATTTAACTCGACATCCGAATGTTCCTGATAATGTAGAAGTAACAACAACAACAACAACAACAGTATTGTCTGGGCTGCAAAATCCCGCATTTGTTAAAGACACCGATAATTGTTCAGGTTGCAATTGCGTTTAAATTGAAATTAATTGTGGGGTTTATAATTTAAAACCAAACTACTTCTGTTAAACTTTTTTTCAGATAGTGATGCCATGAAACGATCCACATCAACCGAAGATATAAAAGTTTCGGAAGATGATTTTAACGAAATTATCGCTCTGAGGCCGATGGATGGAAGAAGTAAGTGTACAGACAGACGGACTGTTTTATATTTTAGTGACTAAACCCTAAAACTTCTAATTATTATTGCGTAAAACGCTTTCGAAAGTTAGCTTTAGTTCTTCGTTTATTTATGTAATAAAAGCTTAATTATACGAAACATTTAGCCAAACTTTTGGCCTAGTTTCGAATTTTTCGCTGTCGATATTCGTATTTTAACACCTTCCAAAAACTTCCCGAGTTACCGTAAATGTGGCTTCACTGCATTGCGGCTAAGCCAGTAGGGAAAGACGAAACTCAGGCGTCGATCGATTTCCATCCGCATCTGAATAGAAGTGATGTAGAAGGATGCTGTGGAATAGATGGGAGAAGGGGACAGCGTACAGCCATGATTACAACTTTTTTTCTCTCTTGTTTAAAAGATATTACATCCGTTATTATCACCTGTTTACCGATACGTGAGTTTATTTAACAGTATAAGCGTATAGAAGGTATAGAAGTCGTTGTAATTATTAAAGATAATGCGTTGTTACAGGTACACAATCAGATAATTTAGAAGAAGATAAAGAGGAGATCTGGAGTAACACAGATGGACAACGACCAAACAATTTTGTCGAAATAATGTCTAAAGTTGATAATCAAAATAGGAATCATCTCGTTCCCGAATCGACTTCCGTATCTTATCAACAGAATCATTGGTTAGTTGTATTTGTAAGTTATAATTTATATATTTACGTCTCCAAATTAAATAATACATGATAAATTACAGTTTAAAATTCCTATCTTCGAGATAATCTATCATTTTACTACTTAATATTTAAACTAACTACAATTAATCTATAAATAGTTGTTTATTAATTTTTAATTCTTGAATTTTCTCCTCTAAGCCGAGAAAGTGTGGTTAAACAGTAATTAAGCTTCTCGACTGTTGTTTAACAATATTCACGAATTAGTTGAATATTTTATTTCTGACACCCGCTTATACATAGACGTAAACATTTTATTAATGCTTGTTTATAGAACAGTTCAAAATTTATACGTACTTATTGAATTCTTTAAAAATTACAAAATTAATTAGTTTTGTCTGCACTTTGTGAAATTTATCAATACATTTAAAGGAAAATATTTATTTAATTAAGTAAAAGAATAAACAGTAGATTTATTATAGGTCTGTACCAGTAAAATTTCATTATTTCCTCTTCTATCATTTTGATGTCTTGCAATATTGTCTATCTATATCCATTTCGATCGATCATTCGATACTTTCGATATCTGAAAATATTGTAAATAAATGCTTTATGTAAATTTTCAAAATATTATTTAAATATATTACACTAAAAATTAATTTAAAAAACCATTTCCAGGGCCGAAACGAATCGCGGTGCATACATAAGCCAAAGGATTCAAGCATTGACTCATGCATTCAGTTCGAGAGCTCAGAAAATCAAAGAAAAAATTATACAGGCTCCAACCCCTTCTCCCAGTGAGTTTGGTCATTATTACTTTATACAATTNTACATCCATAATTACATTCGTGAGATGTAACAAGTTACATTCCAATAAGCGTAGGATAAGTGAGGCTGGGATGGTGAAAAAGTTTCATTATTGTAAAAATAAATTTTACTTTAAAAAGCTTACCGAACTAGTGTCTGTCTTCTTATCGTTTCAAACAACACAATAACCAGTAAAATAATAGTGTTTTCCGAAAAACATATTCGAAAAAACAAAATGTAATTTCCTGCTAATTCGCTCTTAGAGGCGTGGTTAGCTGGTGAACAGTGTATTGATGAACACTCTCCCAGTCTACTCTGTTATTTTTTGACCGATTACAGGTTAAACTTATTATTCAAGCTTCTATAAAATTATATACAAGAAACAAAAGTCTTCCGCCAATCTTAACTTAAGACTTTCCAGGCTACGGTAAACATAAGCATGAGTAAAACGTTCTGCCAGTCAGAAACAGGAACATTCCATTTTTACTTTCCCAGCTGTTACAGGTTATATAACAGTGGGAAATTATGGCGATCGGTCTGAAAACGACCCCAAGACTTTGTTTTTGGGCTCAGGACATTTTGAAACGTCGAGAAATGCAAAACAATTCGGGGGTAATTTCTGTATGTATGGATTAGTGTGTGGAAGCACGATTTTGTTCACTCTGGTTGAAGCTTAATAACTCCCGTGCTTTCTGTCGAAAATTTCTGAAATTTTGCAAGGAGGTTTGTGTATTAGGGGGGTCAACACTGTTAAATTTTGGTGATTAAAGGTCGAGGAGGTGGAGAGATAATGAGGGGTCGTGTGTATCGCCAGTAGAGTCAGACTTAATGACTATTTTACTCGTTATTAATATTTACAATTTTGTATAAAACCCATCCCTCAAAGTTAAGCTTTTTGCCGTTTTATAATAGTTAAAAATATAAAATTTCTAATTAAATATGATAACAGATGGCGCCACCCAAATTTTAAATGTTACCGGGAAAGTTGAGCAACTCATTGTCGGTTTATTTCACTTACTTTTACAACAATAGCGCGTAAACAGCGCACATAGCCAGCATGACTTTCAGCTACCACAATATATTAATACGAGGAGCTACTGTTTAGTTTATAGTTCATACAGTAATTACACGTGTTCACCATCTCACCCTGATTTACCCAAATAATTTTCTTTCTTTATCTCTTTTATAAATAATCGCGTAATGTTAGGCAGAACATTAAAATAATGCGCTGTTTATTCACTGCGTTATCAAATATATTACTCATTCTATAAAATATTTATTTTTAATTATAATTTATGACTTTACATTCCTATTGATGAAACTAAAATATTTATTTTCAGACGAAGGTGCTATTTTGGATTCTCTTCCTCGCAAAATGAAAACGGATGTTGCTATTAATGTTCATTACAACACTCTAATTAAAGTTCAACTGTTTAAGGTAACTTTTATTTTTCTTCATCCTCTCATCGTAAATTAAAATAACACCAAGATCAGCATTAACATTATTTTTTATACTTCTCTTAATTATAAACAATTATAAGTCTTTTTATATACAGTACAGGATTCCGTGTGTTTTTATTAAATTTTATTCTTAATTCCACGACGTTAATTAAGTTATTTGTTCTCTGCTACTTTTTGCATTCTGGTTTATCTATTAAGAAGGTAATCCTTTCGAAACTGTTCATTTATTATCGTCGTAGATTAAGAATAGTGTGCAATTATAAATTACAAAATTACGAATACCTTCAATCATTAATACGTTTTCGTTTGCATTCAGAGATATCATTATTAAGCATTTAAATAATTCAACTTTCCGTATTATCATTTAGGCCTATATATCTAAGGTGTTTATTAATTGTTTGTGAATCTCTATAACTAAAAGTAAAGATTGATAAATTCTATTAAAGGAAGGCAAAATTTTTGATTCTTCCTATAGAAACTCTACTTGAAATCTTCCTAAATTGAAAAATCTAGATGAAATTTTAAGTTTATAGTAATAAGCATATATACAGTAACTTTATTATTTTTAATTAATTATTATTTAAGTGACTTTTAAAGTAGTTTAACTTTTAACTTGTTTATAACGGAACAAACGGGAGAGTGCGTAAACTTAAGGCAAGCTTCGAAGTCTCTTATATAATTAAGCGTATGGCTGCATACTATACAGTCGACCCCCTATAACACTGTTTATAATTCCGTTTTAATAGAATTCCATGTTGTACGAGTCACTTAGATTTTACAAATACGTGTGCCGGGCTGTGAACGGCTCACGTATGTGTAAAATCTAAGTGACTCGTACAACATGGAATTCATATAAAACGGAATAATCAACAGTGTTATAGGGAGGTCGACTGTACTGTACATTACGTTAAGTATGTAAAATAATTTGTTATATTTGTTTATTTATTTAAGCTATTCAAACATTAAATTATTTAGAATGTAATTAGAACCACACTTCTTAGTAGACGTGTATGAGAAATTTCATTAAAACATAACATTTATAAATTAATAAATAGCTGAATTAAGTTACAATTACTAAAATATTTATGATCTCACTAGACAACCGACCCTGAATTATTCTAATGATAAAGGGATTGCTTATCGGGCTAGAACGTGGCTAATTAATATAATAGATACTAAGTAATTTGGACTAAAGGTAGGCGGTTAAGCCGCCATCTTGTACTAAATTTAATAATCATATTAATTATTGAATTAATTTGAATAATTAATTTAGATTATTCTGGAAGAAAAGATCGATCCGGAGCGGAACTAGAACCTGCAAGTTCTGCTTACGTAGTATCTATTATATTAATTAGACAAGTTCTAGTCCGATAGTTAATCCGTCTTTATCATTTGGTCATTATGGCCTCATCATTTAAATAACTGCTTATATAAACAATTACTTAATTAAGTAATTGAGATGGTGTATTAAGATAACTGTAAGCGCTTCTATTGGATTTAATTTTAAGGCTATTTACAACTTTTATAAATATTTTTATTTCCTAAAATAAGCAAAACTCGAGTAAATAATACATTTAACATAAACGAATTTTAAATTATTGACATTTTCTTGTTACTTATAAAAATAACCTTAATGTAGAGCAGTAAAATAGTCCCACATTAAAATTAGGCCTATATTTGCTAAATTTTTCACCAGAATATCAATATCTGCTTATATAAACGATAACTAACATACAATGCTAAGTAAACATGCATAAAAGTAGTATTGCACAGCGCCAGTTTTTCCCCGATGGTTGAAATTGGAATTAACTTTATCTTGAGAAATTGTTTTGCGTATTTTTGGAAAGCATATCCTTCAAATTTCATTATAATCTGTTTATTAAATCCGTTTATTAAAAAGCTGAATAGGGGTTCGAATGAACTAAAAGTTTAAATTTAGACAGCGTAAGTTTTATTAAAGCCATGGTAAAATATTGAGAGCAAAAGTTCAAAGATACAAACAAAACTTCATTCAAGTATTTAACAACATCAAGTAGTAATCAACAACATTTAACAAAAGACAAATGAACAATCAGATTTCGAGGCAAACGGGCAAAAGATTCATGCTCTGCACCCTGATAAACCCCAAATTTATGTTTTTTGCTTGCTAACAATCCGATAGTCAGATGGTAGGGAATGGCACAATTTCATTAGTCAGATAGACAGGAATTAATGCTTTTCAATAGAAAATAGTCGTTGAGTTCTGCCTGCACGAGAAGATAATTCGAAACATCTAAATTTTTGCTCCTGTTAACTTAAACGTACTCGAATGCCAATCAAATTTTGCAAGAACTGGACCAAATACTTAAAATCGGCACCCTCGATGGAAGGGTTGAATTTAATTCGATCAAAACTAGTCGTTGGGTGAGAGGATGGTTCCAGAAAAGTTTCGATGTGTTTGCTTGAATCGCGTCCAATGTATAAAGAAGAACAAACTAACAAACTTTATACTGTATATTAAATTAAGTTCCTTTGAAATAGAATTGTTATACTCACGGAATATTCAAAATTTCTGGTATCATTACTCTTCGATCTACATCCATGAATATAGAAATGATAAGTACAGTACTGTACGTATATAATTGATGATGACATTAAATTACAATTGTGAATTATAACAAACTTCATTCGTGGAACAATATCACGAATCTTTTTACTTTACGCGTTAACTTCAAGAGAAATTACTCAGAAAGAAGTCATAGAATTTAATACGTTTTTAAACGAAATACTGTATAAGCAAATGCATTACTCTTATGACAGCTTTTTTAATATATTTAATATTGACTTTTGATGAATAATACAGGACTGTGATAAAGCGCTGTTGAGAGATTTAGTTCTGAAATTGAAACCCGTATTATTTTTACCTGGAGATTTCATTTGCATGAAGGTAAATTGTTTGTTTTTCTAACGTTTCAAAGTCGCTATAGATCTCACTTACCCTTTTGTTCGTTTATATTTATATTTAATAGGGAGAAGTCGGTAAAGAGATGTATATTGTGAACAAGGGATTAGTCCAAGTCATGGGAGGAGAAAACGGAGATGTGGTCTTAGCCACACTGTCGGAAGGAAGCGTTTTCGGAGAGATAAGGTAATCTTCAATTATTTATCTTTTTAAAATTTCCTTTTAAATTCCACTGATATATTCCAACAGTTTACTCGGTATTCCGGGATGCAACAGAAGGACTGCCGACGTTCGATCGAGAGGATTTTCTAATTTGTTCGTTCTTAGCAAATCTGATCTTTGGGATGCTTTGAAAAACTATCCCGAGGCACAAAATATACTTAGGAAAAAAGCCAAGTTTGTTTCGCTTTTACTAATATTAATATAAACATACATTATTCCTAAAGCACTTAAACTTTTTCAGATCTTTAATAAAACAAAACGAAGCCTTGAGTAGAAAAGAAAATTCCAAAAAACTTAACGCGGAAGTCATCATCAAGGAACCAACTAGTAAACCCGCTACTCCAAAACTAGTGAAAACCGTGATTCAAGTAAGAATAATCATTATTTTACCCTCATTTCTAACCCTAATACCTGATCCCGTTATGATGTTTCAATTAGGTCGTCCCACCCGATTCTAAATTTGGCCAGATGATGCGAAAGAAATCTTCGACAAAGTCCCAGGCAACTCTCCGAGATCCGCCGAAAGAGAAAAATAAAGTCGACGTTGAAAACAAGAATCCCAATAAAGATAAAGAAGAAGAGACCAAAGATATTCAGAAAGTGAAGAAAATCGAAGCCGCAGAAGATAAAGAAACGGCAAAAAATGTCGAATCCGCGACTCCCATCAAAGATTCTAGCCAATTCATCAACAATATTCTTCAACTCGTACCCAGTAAACAATCCGAAAGCGTGGTTAAAGAGGAATTCTCTTCTTCGTCTCTGTCCTCGTCCATTGTCAGTTTAAGGTCCTTGTTTCGTATGTCCAGCAGCAGTTCCGATATCAGCCAATCGGATTCGGAAATTCCTCCGACTGCTTCGTTTCGTCCATCCAGTAGCACGAGTAGCGTCAACGGTTATGATAACCTGGCTTTCTCTCCCCAAATTTGTAGTTCGAGTAGAAAGTCAAGCACAATTAGCATTGATTCGTGTTAAATTCTAATTTTTCCTTCCTAATAATATACGTGTGGATTTATATAGTGTAATATTAACACTACGACGAACGTGCCTCAATGTGAACTTAAATTGTGATATCAATTAAAATCGTGAATTTATATAAAATTTGAAGAGTAAAATCAAAACATTTTAACATTTTATACATTGATATCGATTTGAAACAAAGGCATACAAATTCTTAAATATGAACCTTTTATTTTTATTAAAAAACAGTAATTAAAGCCAATAAATTTCGTGAAATATAAGGTTACTTATGCATCCGTTCACAAATAATAACGCTACGAGTAATGCAGTATTCATGTTTTTGTATGTATTGTAACCAGCAACAATTATATTTATGATATATTTTAACTTATAAATAAATTATTTTTTGCTTTTAATACGTAAAAGAAACTGTTTATAAATGTGTTATTTTAATAAAATTAACAATTGTTTTAATATTTCTGTTGAAACGATTCAATAAATGAAAATAACATCTATTTGTATAAGTGATTGCTCTTATTGAAATATTTTGTGCTTGTTTTTTGTTAACTCGAAAATAGAATTAATTTATGTGCTTGTTTGTTAATTTAATTTAATTTGAACAAACTGCACATATCAGCTGATTACAATATACTTTATTAGATTCACAGGTAGCAGCATTACTTTCGCAGCATTAGATTCACAGGTAGCAGCATTACAATTACTTTCGCATGTAAATCCATTAAAAATCTCAAAGAAAGATGCTAAGATAATTTCTGCATCTGTTTAGGTCGTGAGAAATTAAAAAAAAAATTCAGACTAGTTTTTACCCAAGAAACAATTTTCATTAAAATCGATCGGGTACGAGTAGCCAAGCCCCAAACTACAGTACATTGAAATGTACAATCCTCAGGATTTGAAACGCGTCATAAAAAGTGATGTTTTATTGAAAAATCAATAAATGAAATCAGTAATATATTCCCCTTAATCTAATGAATTCTACAAGTTGTGAATTGTGGATTTCATTAGATTAGGAATTATGGATTATGTTTACGGTGTGGTTATTTGCTTAATGCTTAAAGCAATGTTAGTATCAAATTTCTACTTAAATTAAATATTATTTACAATGCATTAATAATGTTTTGATTACGTTTCATATACTAAGAGACAATATTTTCGAAAACACTAATGTTACAATTTTCTACAACTTTAATACGCGCTATTGCAGCTGGAATTATCTGCTAGCTTGGAATTGGCTGGTGGCAACGCACTTGCCCTTCATTGGATATTAATTTAGATTATAATTTTCTATTTTAAAATAATATAGAAAACTGAAAAAATATTATTTAGAAATAAAAAAAATTTACAGCTTAAGAACTGTTAATGAATATTTGTCAAAATAAATTATGTTACAATTCAAATTTTGTAACTTCGTAGTTACGAAATTTGAATTGTAAAAATAAGAACACAATTGTGACGTGCAATTATTTATTGTGACATAGTCACAATGCCGGGATGCAATTTTTAATTTATTTCATTTGAAAATATATGCTTTCCAGCTCAAATTAGTAGTGGCTTGCCCCTGTACATCATACTTTTCCGTTAGAAATGAAGTCGTGCCGGTCAGCTATCTAGCTACTTTCGGAATTTTGAATTGAAATAACGTGAATTTCAAATTAAATAATTGTAATTTTATAAGTCAAAAGTTCTATTAAAAATATTACAATTTTTAATGTCCTCAACAGAGCTATAGAATATATTCAAAGAAGCCAAATAGTCAAAGGAAACATAGCTGTGTACGCGACCCTTTCACTTTATATCTCGCGAAGGGTGGCGTTTACTGGTATGGTTCCATTGACTTTTTTGCTTCTTTGGATAAGGTCTGCAGCTCTGTCAAGGTCCCAACAGTGTCATTCACATTTGCAACTGCACCTAATTCATATTTTTAAAGTTCTTAATAAAAACAAACTACTCACCAAATGTTGGAATGAAAATATTTTCTTGAATTGTGAAGAAATGAAATTTCACTAATTCTGTTAATAAATTAAAAAACTCATGCATTATTTAGTTAAATTATTCCTTGTGGAGTATATAAAAAGTATTATGCTTACGAAGTAACGTTGTTTACACTGCTTTACAGTATTTGTCGAGTAAAGGATAAGAGAAAATGGCGGATTCAGAAACAGACGATACTTTTTACATCATTCCGAGCATGCGCAGATAGAAATTTCATTAAGAATTTAATCGAAATTGTAATGATGTAAATTGTTAAATGAAACAACATAAATAAATTATATAAACTATTTAATTAAGTAATTAGAAAATTAATAAATAATTGGCTAGAATGTATATTTTGCCGGATTTCTTAAAACGCTGTTTCCGTTGATGGCGTTAAAATCTCAAGAGATATTTACCCGTGGGGTGGCGCCAATATCATTAGGGGCATTTGTTCCTATTGTAAACGAGATTTATATAGCGAAAAATAATGACTTTTCTTTTTTAGCTTGCATTTACGAGAAACTTTTTATATTTATGTCATGGTAAACATTTAACTAATTACAATCAAACTTTAAGTTAGGCAACCGTTGATTCGCTTCGGAAATTGACATTAAATCGAGGTTCCCGAAATATGTGCAGTATTGTGGTCTATACGCAAATTTAAATTTTAAGTTGGAATGTCACGTGGTTTGGTGATAAAGACGTTGTTTGCAATGGAAAATCGAGTGAAAAATAATCGATTATTTGAATATTAAAGTCACTCAAAAACTCTCCGATAATTTTAAAATTATTTCAATAGTCATTTACCTTATTTTTGGTACGATTTGATTTTGAAATAAAGAAAAAACTCGCCCCATTAGGTCCATAGCCTATGATCGATGTTGCCCATAAAAAATAGAAAAATTTCTTTTGATAAATGCTTTAATTTGTTAAAATTTTGTAATTTGCAATCAAAAATTCGTTCCCGTGGGCTAATTGTTTTACAATACAACAGCATACTGCACGTGTATTTTTCATACACCATAATGCAAGTATTTTAAGATAATTTGTAAGAATATATTGTAAGAAAATAATTGCTAATTAAACAAGTTAGTTACTTACATGACGTATCTTGATTTGTTTCCAGATGGACAATTCATTCTTAAAGCATAGTCATTAAAATAAAAATACCTTCAACTATTTAATAGCTTTACAAATTAGAGAGAAGCATTTTAAATTAGTGACTTATTTTAATTGTATTTAAAGTTGTGCAACATTGAAGCAGATGGCTTTCTACACCAGAAGAAAAAATGTCGCGAACTAAATTAGAATTTCAAGTAATTTTAATTAATATTATACCCGATAACAAACGAAAGCGATATCAATTATGTAATTACAATTTAATTATAATTACATAATTGATATTACTATTGCTTGTTATCTGGTTAATAATGTATTATCTATATTACACAAGCCCATTAGTGTAATTTGTTATAAATGAGATAGGCCTTTGTTTTGTTTTGCAGAATTTAAAAATTTTTGAAATTATCTGAATAATTAAATAATAAAATTGTCCTTAATTTATTTCTGATAATACAAATATGATTGAAAAATTTGATTGTTAATTTTTTGAAAATTCGGTGTTAATGTCTTATATTTAAATGCATACATTTACGCAGGGTGGCGCAAAAGCCAGTTAACCGAGATATATTTATAAGAAAGGTTATTAGAATGATATGATATTATATTTCGATTAATCTACTTGTGGGCCATCTTGTATATATGCATTATATAGACGTATGTGTGAATAATTTCAAATATATATATATAGCGAAACCACGACTCGAATTAACATCACAAGTTATTCACCTATTAACAAGTGGTAAAATTATCACTAAGATGCCAATTTTACATGTGAACAATTTAGTGTGCAGCATATAATTTTTATCATCATTATAAAGTAAAATTCGATATAAAAATGACATAAAATTTGAAATATACTTACAGGTCTTCACATAATCTAATTGTTTAACTGATTAACTCGTGTTTTCAATTTTATAATAAATGCTACACAAGACTAACCCTCTGTTAAAGAATACGAAGTAAGTCTATATAACATACATATACGAGCATACGTAAATATTAGTCGCAATTAAGTAAAATACAATCTCACTATAATGTACGGCATACGCAGAATGATGATAATGAAGTCAAAATTATAATCTCAAGTTCACCTTTGTCGCGAACTAATATCTTATAAATGTCTTTCATTTATACCACGAAAAATATTTAGGTTAATTATAAAGCCACATAAATGCGCTCAGGGTCTTATTATTTTATCAGAAGGTCGTTTGGTTACGTTCTATCTTCGTAAGGCACTTTTATAGATTTAATTACCTACGTAGGGTACCTTTACAGTTTTAAATACGTTCATAGGGTACCTAGCTTTAAGGCAGGGCTACCCAATAGGTTTACGCACTGTAATTTCAGTTTTCCCCATTAAAAATATGAAATTTATTATATAAAATAGTCGTGATTTATAAAATAAACGACAAGAATATTCTCTGCATAATTTACGACGGTTAAAATTTCTATTTACTCTTACCGATAACGTATAAATAATACCATCAGGTAAATTAGACAATAAGAATTTGATAGGTAATAACAATATGAAACGGATAATAAAGGCGTGGCCCATCATTTATATTTAACAAGACTCCTAAACATTCCCGATAATGTGTAGTAAAAGTAGCAGCAACTGTCTGATGCGCGCTACCAAATTCGTGTTTCAGTACAAGATATTGATGACGTATTATCAGATCTGTGACAATATTTAATTAACATAAATTACACATGACGTTTTCATCTACACGTCACTATATTTAACTTACGTATAGATGGAATTTTTAAGAATATAATGGAAGATTTTGCTTCTGATGAGAAGACGAATAATTTTGTGTATAAATGTATTTAGGAAGCAATTAATCCATAAAAGTAAGTGAAACAACGAAGAAATACTTTCATTTTACTCCTTAAATCTAATTCCTGTACATAAATTTGCTTTAGTATTGTTAATTACAACTGCTCTACATTTACTTGCAGTTGCAATGTATACATACTTATACATCATAAGTATGTATAGGCCTACATATATATTTTATAAATACATATTTTAAATATTTTGAAAATAAAATTAGTTATTTTTGTTTTCTTTTTTAAAATTAAACTTTATATATTTCATTCAACGGCTTAACTGAGATTTTGCTCTGGGGATCCAACACCCACGTACACCCCACTAATTTGCCCACTAAAGTATGCCACTCATTTGTTTCCATCCCCACCCGGACATACTGTACATGTCCGAGTAGGATGAAAACAAATTATGCTTTCCGAGGAATTATTTCGATAGATTTTTAAGTATTTTATAAGGTTTTAAAGTTTAGAATTAATGAGATTAAATATTAGAAAATATACTAAAGTGAGTAGTGTGGTTTACAGTACATTACTCACTCTTTATACCTGAACAGAAGTGCAGTGAGTAATGTGTGACCGAGTTTAAAGAGAAGAATTAATAGTTTAATTACAAAAAGTGTGCAATTTGGAGTCATTCCAAATGTCATTCAAGTTAAGTGATGTTGATTCAGATGCAAATTTTCTCGCTTAAGTACTATACCTATAGGCTCATGCATGTGTGTGTGAGTGTTTTATGATGTAAATTTTGATTTCTTTCCTTAGGTAGAATGTTTAGTGTATATACAGGCCTATAACTACATTAAAAACTATATAATATACTTCCAAAATAACCGAACTGAATTGATCAGATTAAAGAGACACATTCACAACTATATAATATAGGTGATACAATAATGTTTTTGATCATCCTGTATTAAAGTTTATATTGTTTATTTATTTTAAATATATATTTTAAACTTTTACAGACAGATAAACGGGTGACTTTTAACTGATAGAAAGGAGAGAAGTGTTACCAAAGAACAAACGAATACCGTGTTAAAATGATATCTGAAAATAATAATCAAAATAGGAATCGTCATATTTCCACATCTGAACAGAACCTCCGGTAAGTTTTACATTTTTTAAAATTTTTGTAGAAAAATTTCTGTATACTTACTATCGTTTGAACTTATTATTTATTAAAAATTATAATTCAGATATTATTATTGTATATTTCTTTAAATTATTTGTGAAATGTTAAATTTTATTACAAAATGTTCGTCTTAAAGTTATTTTTGTTTTAAATTTTCGTAAGAAGCATTCGAGCAGAGATTAACAAAACTCGAGAATCGTACGCTAAATTTGAGATCAATTAAAAAATTTTAATTTTTAAAATCTAGTTCAGCATGCATATTAGCAAAATAATAACTATTTTTGTATTTATTTCTTTATCAGACTCTTATAATTGTTATTATACGTCTTCAGTTTATAAAAAATTATTTCATACATTTTTACAATGAAGTATGGAATTTTATCCACAATTGAATCCCAGGAACCAATTGTGGTTCTCTTCGTACAATTTAAGATTTCGGCTCCTACTCAACTGTACATGGCCTAAGAACAGTGTAAATAGTTTGTGTTTAAATATGGTACGGTTTATATCTATGAAACCATTAACTCTCCGTATTGTATGGAAAAGTACACCATATGTTCATTTAACTTCCCTAAAGGCTGTTATACATTACGGAAATCCTCAAAGGATGTACTTAACAGACGAAAAAAAAATCGGATATAACTGGCTGGGTCGAACATAGTAATTTACAAAACTTATTAAAATATTTCCCAACGTATAAAGAATTATTTTTATTTAAAGGTGGATAGATAGAAAAAAATCACGGTTAATCCTCAAAGGATTTCCGTAACGTGTATAACAGCCTTTTTAATACTGTGACCACCATTCATAGCTGCATTTAACAGCTATTTCAAGAACTTCCCAGAAAATAGTCAAAGGGACAAAATATAAAGTTTGTTATTTTTTCTGATAAATTATATCTTACACTATTATATCTATATAAATTTTAAGTATTCTACTTATTACTATAATTTTAAAACAATTTCTAAATGAATTCGCCCTAATTTTCTCTTCAAATTTTGACTAAATCAAAATCAACTCCACGCCACGTGTTCACTTTCAACTGCAATCCAGCTATAATGTGAACAGGAGCTCTAAAGGGTTCAAAGTTACTTGTGTCTATTCGCTATGTTGCTAATTGAAAAAATTATGACATAAATCATTCTGATTCGCAATTGGCCCCTGATCCACAACCGGTGTCCTTACCTTATACCGTATGCTGTATGTGAGTCTGTGTGCTTAAAATATAAACTTTTTAGCTTGAGTCTGTGACATTCTTGCTTCATAGTTTATTCATTTGACACCTTAGCCTGTGATTCTTGCATACAAGGTATATGCAATGGCAGAGCAAGAATCACAGGTTCAAGTGCAAAATCTTTTTCTGAGCTCTGCAAAGTTTATATTTTTGCTGTTTTACATATACCCTATACAGTTTATAATAACTTAGCCAATAATGGCATGCATAGCATAATGAATGTTGTCCTTTATTTAGTTAATGACTTTAATTCTGCATGCCAAAAATGGAGTTCATTTTCTCTACGATTGTTCGAAATCTAGGAATTTGTAAATTACTAACGTGATTTGTAAATACAATAAAATAAATTATTATGTAAAAATTTCAAATTTTATATACATTTGTACATATTTAATTATCGAGATATAAAACTGCACAAGGGCATGTTTCAAAAGATCGTCATGTGTATTGAGTGTCTATTAAATCGCGTTTCTCATTGGTTAAGTTTCGAATTTACAATTTATATTTTTTACAATTAATTTTTAGCTGTTTATTTTATGTTATTTTCAGAATCGAAACGAATCTCAGTACTTATATTAATCAAAAGATTCGAGTATTGACTGACGCATTCAGTTCCAGAGCTCAAAGATTCAGAGAAATAATTATACAGCCACCAACCCCTTCTTCCTGTAAGTTTATAATTCAATTTGCACGATTTTATGAAAATCTCGCTGATTATTTTTAGTTCTAGCTCCACAACCAGAAGAATTAGAGGAACCGCAAGATCGTCCCAGACTCCAGTCTCTGATACAACACGAGGATGATCCACCTGCAGACGACAGCTGGTTGGACGAAATGGTGGACGTTTGGTGCTGTCAATTAAAGCGTCGTTACATCCCTACATTTCCTAAAGTCCTGGATCCTCAAAGTGAGTAAAATTTTTAATTTACCATAAATGGAAATATTTAATAGAGATTTGCATTTACTCTTCCACAGGCAAACTCTACATAACTTGGTTGCTGATAGTTACTATTTGTTACTTATATAATGCGTGGATCATATTCTTCATGGCTAATTTCCCCTATTTAACGAAAGAAAATCTTCCCATGTTTCTGGGATTCGATTATTTCTCCGATTTAATGTATTTTGTAGACATTGTTCTGTTTAAAGTTCGTGTTCGATACCTTTATGACGGATTTTGGGTGGTGAGTCCATTCATTTAACTGAGATTTTTACTAGTTATTTGTAGATTTTTGGTAAAATATATGATTTCAGGATGACCCTGTTATGACGAGGAAGAATTATTTCAAAAAGAGCATGTTTAAGGTGCTTTATGTTTCTTTTATAGTTTATCAACATTAATATTGCTTCAGCTAATGGTTTTTCTTTTTTCAGATGGATCTGTTATCTTTGCTACCATTGGACTTATTATATCTAAAATATGGAATTAATCCACTGTTCCGAATACCAAGAATATTAAAAGTAAGTACTGTATATTAATAGCAACAAAATTGGCCTAGCTTACTTATTTAATTAAATGTTATTTAAAGAATGGTTGAATCACTTCATTGGAAGCGCCTGAATTAACTGACTCAGTTAATCGACTTTTGGCCACTCTGTATGTTTCTAGGAAAACGACTCAACGAATTCGAATGATTTCAGTCATGACAACAATACACAGCATAATTAATATAAGGTCATAATTAAGATCATGTGCCATTCAATTTTGAATGTCCACAGCTCATACATAAACTCGTCAGACGTGCTGCAGAAGACTACCTACAATAACATTATATTAATCTGTTTTCCGAGCCACTGCACTAGTATTCTGCAACACACGATCGTGCTTCTTTCATCGAAATAGCGTTACCGACAAGAAACATTGAAAGAAATGATGCTAACGTAGTAATGGTAATTACACAGCCTGACTTCATTGAGTTGTTAAAGTGGAAAAAGTTAAAGTCCAAAATTAAGAATAGACTACAACTCGATCTTTTCCACAGAAGTATAAAAAAAACACACAAAGTAGAATGAAATGCATTCAGACATTATAATTATTCATTGTGCTATATCACCCATACCGCGTAGTGGATATGCCGAGTTTCAAGGTTTCACTAAATGCTCTTTAACCTTAAAAGATAATGAGAATTGAACAAAATTTCTGATGTGCAGTTTTAGGAATGAAATAACGATAATAATTTCAATAATAGAAATCCCAGAGGATTCAAGAGATTTAATATATCACGGATTTTTAAAAGCTGCGTCGTATCTCTCGTTTTACCTTAAGCTATTTCATAACTGAATTTTTAAATGTTTACACATATTCTTTTTGATCTTTAGTTGCAAACATTTTGGGAGTTCTTTAATAGAGTAGATTCTGTTACCAAGTCCCCCTACGTTATCAGGTAGACGAAGCGTAAATCTTAAACTTGCGCATTGTTTATAAACATTTGACATAATCAATTTGATTTTTCCATTACAGAATCATAAGGACATTAATCTACATGATGTATTTGATTCATTTCAATGCCTGTGCCTATTACGCCATGTCTTCTTGGGAAGGAATCAATTCTAACAGTTGGGTGTACAACGGAACGGGAAATGCGTAAGTCAAAGTTTTCCTTGAGTATTCACTAATTAAAACGTTAAGGATATTTGCATAAATGGCGAAACTGTTTTAGTTACATTCGCTGCTTTTACTTCGCTACCAAAACTGCCACGTCCATAGGAATAGGGAAAAAGTTTCGACCCTCCAACGAATTCGAGTACGTTTTCATGATCGTCAGTTGGCTGATGGGAGTTTTCATCTTCGCATTTCTAGTCGGACAGGTTTGTTAGTCTTATAACCAAGAAGTTACCTGTAAGTAATTGAGATTCACCGACAGTTTCGTTTACAGATACGTGATATATTCGCTACGGCCACTCGGAGCAAAACTGAATACAGGCAGATGATGAATCTGACCGTTCAGTATATGAGAAACTTAAATGTTCCCGATGATTTGCAAACGAGAGTGAGACTTTGGCTCAGACATACCTGGGAGCAACAGAACACTTTAAGTAACGTATAGTTGCGCCTAATTTTCAATCATTTCATAAGTCGTCTCTCTCTTAAACCAGAATTTCTGTCAATTTTAAGTTGAACTAAAAGTCGTATTTAATCTACTGTTAATGTTAGGGTATTCTATCAGCCGAAACTCAACATGTTTCTTCTTAACAGATAATTTGTAAATCTGTAAATTAACAGTTAATTTACAGATAACCTTTTCATTTGTAGGCTATATTTTTTTATAAGATTTTAAAAGCAGGCAATTTATAGTTTAGTTATTGTTTGTAATAAATAATTTTAAAAACATTAATTATTTTTTCGTGCTATAGAATATCGTTATAAGCAGTTTCGTATTAATTTTCAGATGAAGATACTATTTTGGATTTTTTTCCTTCCAAAATGAAAATGGATTTAGCCATCAATGTTCATTACAATACTTTAAGTAAAGTTCAGTTATTTAAGGTAGGATGTTTGGACATTTATCTTACGTAACCCATTTAAAAAATCTGATAAATATTTAATACATTAATATCGGTTTTTCTATACTTTCGTAAGATGAAGAATATAAATAATAAGAATGTTTACAGAAGTGATATCTGGACGTAAATTTAGATAATACAGATAAAAGGAGCTGGTTAATTGGTATTACTAAAAGAATAATACTTCATAAATCAACACAAACGATCGAAAAGTCTGTGGTCAAAGAATCAAAACAAAAAAGAAAAGCTGAGAAGTTCAGACTTCCTTTTTAGTGCTTTAATTTATGGGATGTTATCCCTTTTAATTTTATTTCAAATATAAACTCTGACCTTTGTCAACTCCCTCACACCAATTTTTTGTATACTTTAAAATAATTTTACATTTTATTTTATAGGATTGTGATAAAGCTCTGTTGAGAGATTTAGTTCTAAAACTAAAGCCAGTGTTATTTTTGCCGTTAGATTACATTTGCATGAAGGTAAATTAATCATTTTCCATCATTTCAAACCTATACGGAACTTATTCGGCGTTTCTTGAACTCTTATCAGGGTGAAGTCGGCAAAGAAATGTACATACTTAATAAAGGATTAGTCCAAGTCATGGGAGGAGAAAATGGAGACGTGATCTTAGCCACACTATCGGAGGGAAGCGTTTTCGGAGAGATAAGGTAATTTTCCGCATCACAATACTGTCATCTAACTTTAAACAATTGGTATAAATATCTTTTATTCTAGTTTACTGGGAATTCCGGGATATAACAGAAGAACTGCTAATGTACAATCGAAAGGATTTTCTTATTTATTTGTTCTTAGTAAATCTGATCTTTGGGATACGTTGAAAAATTATCCCGAAGCGCAAGAAATCCTTAACAGAAAAGCTAGGTTAATGGGTTTTACAAAATATTTAAAATTAAAGTATCTTCGCATCGCTTTCATTATTGAACTCTATCCTTTTGCAGGACTTTGATCAGACAAAACGAAGCTTTAAAAAAAATGGAAACTTATAAAAAACTTCATGCCGAAATTATCATTAGAGAACCAATTATCAAGCCGACTACACCAAAATTAGTTAAAACCGTGATTCAAGTTAGAAAGATTTTTGTTTTTATTTTTATAATATACAATGAAACTTGACATTTCCCAGCTGGCTACAGCAAAAGATATTCATCAGAAGAGTTCCTGATGAATAGTTTTTGCTGTAGCTAGGTGGGAAGTGTCAAGTTTAATTTGGGACCCACCTGTATTTTTTTTCATGATAGAATTTTAACTTGTATTTTACTTAGGCCCTTTCTCCGGATTGTAAATTTAGCCAAATTATAAGGATGAAATCGTTGATCAAGTCAGATACGATCTTGCAAGATCAACCAAAACTACTAGAACAGAAAAGCGAAATTAATGATGAAAACAAGAAGCCCGAGGAAAATGAAGAAGAAGCGATTAAAGATATTCAGCAAGTGAAGAAAATCGAAGCCGCAGAAGATAAAGAAACGGCGAAAAATGTCGAATCCACGACTCCCATCAAAGATTCTAGCCAAATCATCAACGATATTCTTCAACTCGTAACCAGTAAACAATCCGAAAATGTGGTTAAAGAGGAATTCTCTTCTTCGTCTCTGTCCTCGTCCATTGTCAGTTTAAGGCGCTTGTTTCGTGTGTCCAGCAGCAGTTCCGATATCAGCCAATCGGATTCGGATATTCCTCCGACTGCTTCGTTTCAATCATCCAATAGTACAAGTAGCTTGAATGATTCACAAAAATCTAATCTTTTCTTTGAAAATTTGAACTTCTAATATAAAATCTTGCATAATTACATAAACTCGTGTTAATTTCTGCTTTACTTTCCTGGCTCTGTTATATATAATAGAATGAAAGTATGGCAATCGATCTAACATTTACAATTTTTTATAAAACCCACACCTACCGTCAAAATTAAGTTTTTTGCCATTTAATAATAATTAAAAATATAAAAATATTTTAAAAATAAAATATCGTAATAGATAGCTCCACACGCAGTTTTAAATGTTGTAGTGAATGTTAGGCAATTCGTTGCTAAATATATATTTTTTCCTTTTTGTGTTTTCAATATTCATACTTCACCAGACCAATTGATAGCGATGCGAAAGTTCCAAAAATTCTTTCATATTGTGGTATCGTTTATGCAAAGAGGAAATTAGAAAGAAAACTTTTATATATTTTTACATTTTGTAGTAAAATAAACTGAAAGCATATGAATTAAACGTGAATTTGTAATGTAAAAATCAATTGCAATTAAAAATTTTTTGTAAAAATCTCCCTATACAACAGAGTGAATTATTGTATCTGTTAATTTTTATAGTGGTAAATTTGAACTTCTTTCATGTATTCCTGTGTATAAAGCCGTATTTAATTCAAATCAGTCGTTAGCTAGAATCTATAATATTTATTACAGTAGAGCCTCGATTATCCGACTCAATTGGGGACTGGGGTTGGTCGGATAATTGAAAAGTCGGATAACCGAAAAGTATGAAAAAATCCATTATTAGTGTAGTATATTATTACATCCCATGTAATTAGTATATTAGTATATCGCTATTAACCTACTTCGCGTTGAATTTTCATCGATGTTAAACCTAACAAAAATTTTTTAAAATAATAATCGTCGCTATTGTATCGTTAAAAATTAGAAAATTAAG